CTCACACGCGCTCTCTCACTTTCTCACGCTCAGTCTCTCACACGTGCTCTCTCACTTTCTCACACTCAGTCTCGCTCACACACACTCTCACTCTTTCTCACAGTCTCTCTCACATGCACTCTCTCACTTTTTCACACTCACTCTTTCACTCTCTGTCACACTCACTCTCACTCACTCAACAAATACCTATTGCACACATTCTGTGCCAGGCAAGGTTCTGGGTTCTCCAGAAACATCAGAGAACAGGACAGTTGGTGTTCCTTTCTTCTTAGGTTCTGGTTAGGGGAGAAAGAATGAAAATGAATAAATAAGTAGAGAAACATGATAGTGACAGTCCCCAAAAGAAAATAAAACAAAGTGACGTGATGGAGCCAGCTGGCTGGGGTGTGTGTGGCGGGGGGCAGCGCCTGACGGGTGGTCAGCCAAGGCCTTGCTGGGAAGGTGAGCTGCGAGGTGAATGACTCTGGGAGCCTCGGGCCAGGAGAGCAGGCAGAGGAGCCAGTCTGAGGGGCAGCAGGGCGGGGTCGAGGGGCCTGTGATTCTGAGCAAGTGCAGTGATCTGATGCGTAAAAACCCTGCTCCATTGCAGGGGCACGGATCAGATGAGGAAAGGATGGACATCGGGTGCCCATGGAAGGGTGGCTGCCCAGTCCAGGCAAGAGTGGTGGTGGCCCGGAGCAGAGTGGCGTCCCGGAGCAGGGTGGAGGCTGTGAATGTGAACAGATGTGATGGATTCGAGGTCGATGTTCTGCTGAAAGGCCTTGCTGGTGGATTGCAGTGGGGGTGTTGGAGAAGGAGGAGGCAAGGGTGACTTGATTTTCTGCCTGAGTCACTGAGAGGGATGATGGTGTCATTACTGAGATAGGAGGGTGAAGGAGAGGAGCAGGCTGAGGGGGAGGCAGGGAAATCAAGAATTTTACTTTGGCCAACCTTAGCTGGAGGTGTCTCTGAGAAATCCGTGTGCAATGTCAGATAGGTGGCTGATCACCGTGAAAACGTCCTTGAACTCTGATCCGCACCCTGCCTTCCTCTTGACTTTGGATTGGCTGCAGCGAGCAGATGCTATTGTCATTCCCACCTGACACACTCATGAGACATCACTGAAGCTGCCTGGGGTGTAGCCAGTGTTTCTGTGACCCAGGGACCAGCGGTGTGGATTCTTGGGTACTGCCTCTCCAAACCTACCGAGTTGCCCTCTAGGGAGGAATCCACGTGCTCAGCCACCACCGTCCAGAATTCTTATGTGCACTGAGGTTTGAGAACCATGGAACAAGCCGACCACCATGCGTGGATTCGTGCAACCAACATGTATGGGGTGCCTGCTATGTGCCAGTATTAGGCAGGCCTGGGATCAGGGAACCATGAGGGTTGCTGGTGGGGGACACTTCTTCCCTCATGGAGTTTATGGTCTCCAGCGAAAACAACAGAGTACTGGTAAGCACAGATCGTGACGCATGCCACAGAGACAACACAGGATGATTTGGGAGAGAATATCAGGGGGACTTAATTTACACTGGTGTTGGTGGGGGTGGGGAGTGTGAGGATGGCTTCTTTGAGGATCTAGCACTCACGCCGAGACCTACAGGATGGATTTAGCCAGTGGAAGGGTGGCAAGAAGGCATCCCAGGCTGAGGGAACAGACATGAAGGTGAGGAAGGGCTTGGGGTCACCAAGGGCAATGAGGGGAGGCAGCCATCATGCTTGAGTTTAGAGGAGGAAGAGAGTGGTCCGGATTGAGGCTACAAGGGGGCGGGGGCCAGACCAGGGGCCTGTAGGTCACGGGGTAGGGGTCTGGATTTTATGCTGTGCTAGAGATGGCTAGCTGTCTCCTAATATCTGCTCTTCCCTTCTTCTATAGTAAAATGGCAGCCAAGAATAAGGACTACATTTCCCAGTGTTCCTTGCAGCTAGGTTTGGCCACGTGACCACTTTCAGGCCAATGGGATGAAAGAAGTGTGTCATGTGACAGATGCCCCCCCCCCGCCCTGCCTTCCTGAAGCGAGGATTGCTGCTGGTTTGCTCATCTTGTGTTTTGATTCTTCTTCCATTCTGACGCCTCAGACTCAGATGCTGCCCCGAAGCGGGGTGACAAGGGGCTCCCTGGGGATGACGGTGTGAGCCGGAGGAGGCTGGCCCCCGAGTTGTCCTGACAGCGTCGCCGGGCCAGCCCTGGATGGCACAGCCCCAGGCTCCTTCCGCCCAGAGAGAAATAAATACCTGTCTGCCCTGTTTAAGCTCGTTTTCTGGGTTTTCTGTCACTCTCAGCTGACCTAGTCTGAGCCGATAATAATAATGGCTCTGGGAGGCATTGCTGGGTTCAAGCAGGGGAGTGACACCATGCGGATCGTGCTGGCTGCAGGGTGGCTGGAGAGGGCAGGAGTGGAGAGGGAGACTGGTGAGGAGCTGAGGTGGTGGTCCAGGGGGCGAGGCCCGGCCAGAGTCGGGGGCAGAGGGGGACAGATTTGGGGTATGTTTGGGGCCAGAACCAGCAGGTCTTGGTGATGGGTGGGGGTGGGGTGCAGGTGAGGGAGAAGGATGATCTGGTTCTCTCTGCCCTTTCTCCTGCTGGCCCCCATCCGGGCCATGGGAGTTCCGTCCCCAGCTCACCCTCTCCTGCCTGGAGATGGCGCCGGAGGTCTGCTTCCCGCCCTTCGCAGGGAGTCTCAGCGAGGCTTGGGGTAACTCTCCCCTGTCTGTCTGACTCTGGCGCTCACGGGGAGCTCCTTGGGTCACCCCCCTCCCCCATCCGTGTCCTTCCCTGGTCCTATATACTGCCTCAGTGAAAACAGTTTGTAATGGTTGATTGTAGCTAACAGCTACTGTGCATTTCCCATATACCAGACAGAGGTATATACCTGATATATGAGATGGATCACATCCATGAGCTCATTCAAACTTCAAGGTGGTTCTTTCTTTCTTTTTTTTTCCCCTGCTTTTACTTTTATTTGCATTTTATTTTATGCTGAATTTACTCCTGAGCCATACGTTTATGTTTCTTCAGTTTCTTCGGGGATGTGTTTTTCTTGTGTGCAGCCTCTTCTCCTGGTTTAGGGACAATGTGTCCCTTTTCAGTAAGATCATCTCCATGTGGGCGGAGGGTCACGTGTGGCTTAATGCTGCCAGGAGCTCTGTCACTGCCACGGCATCTTGGAGGCTTTGTTCACCTGGATGTGCTCCCTGACCAGAGAATCCACGTCTCAACCCTGAAGTTCAGCATTGCTCTCTGCATTTTAACCATGCACAGCAAAAATGCAGCCCACTTTTTGGGCCATTGGCCTGTGTCCAGCTCCACTGTTTGGCCTGGGCACACCTACTCCACCGCCGTAGCGTCGGAAAGGCACACATTGCTTCTGCAAACTGACGTCTTTCGGAGACTTGGTGGCTTTTTGGTGAT